TGAGAAGAGCGTTTCCATTCACTATGGCTGGAGAGTAGAGAAAGGGGGGAGTAGAGATGAGAGAAATGAATGAAGTTGGGGAGGAAGCAAGAACCCAAATAATGAAGAACCTGACAGCATGAATGGGCTTAAACTTCATCCTCATAAGCCAGTGTTCCTAAAACCTGGAATGCTTTTTCAAAGCTCCTAAATGAATTTGGAAAGCATCCAGGAAAGGAATGGGCAACCCAGGGAAAAAAATACAGCAAGCGGAACACCCCTAACCAAACACAAGAGCCCAGCCCACCCCCACTCCACACAAAGCCTGGAAGCCAATGCCCTGACCCATGTCCTCTGCCTCACCTGTCTGTATCCCACCTGTAGGGCAGTACAAGAGTCTGAGGGATGGGGCTTTAAAGCCATCCGAGGTACAGTAATGGTAACTAAAGGAGAGCTGCTTTACTCTTAAAAAGAAATCTTAGAGGACCAGAAATACTAATTGCCTGAACAGACATTCAAAGACCCAGACCTGAAATTCCACTTCCAAGAAACTATTCTAAGGGAGCCATAAGAATTACAATTCAAGAGGAAGACTTGAACGAGCACGGCAATCCTTAAAAGGAAATCATTAAATAAAACAGAGAGAAAAATACTATGCAGTGATTAAAAATCAGGCTCTTTTAAGAATCTTTCATCAGACAACACTCACAATATGTCAGGTAAGGGAAATCAGGTCACAAAGCAGTGCACAGAGCATGATTTCTTATTTCCAAAAATTAAAGCTGTCCCCCTTCACCAGAACTAAGAACATGCTCTGCCTTTTTTTTTTTTTTAAAGGAACATGCTCTAAAATAAAGTAGGGAGGGGGGAAAAGCAGGAAGTAATGAATAAAAGTTGTGATTTGAAAGTTTTCTGCACTACCTTTTAATTTGGGGTTTCTAAATTCCCTACAATAGGCAGGTACACACTGTTTGTCTCAAATGAGGCAGTGAGGTTTATTTGAAAGGCTTGAACACGTGGAGGGCGTGGGGTGGGGATCTAATCAGGAGCCATTGAGAGCCCAAGGGAAAGGACTGAGAACTGAACCTGCAGTGGAGGAGGGGCAGGCACAAAACATCTGTGACTGGGGAGCTAAGGTGCTTGCAGAAGAAGGGCTGGGAACTGATCAGGTTTCTGGCTTGAGGAGCCACTAATTAAGATGGGGAAGACAGGAGGGGAAGCTGTCCATCCTGTGGGCCAGTCATTTAGTTTGCCTTTCTCTGCTGGGCCTCCTGCCTGGATTTCACCAGCCCGCCAGCCTTGCGGGAGCCTCTGCAAACAGGTGTCTGAATTTTGGGTTTGGGACTTAGCAGCCCCCACAGCTATGCGAGCCATTTTCCTTCCCATGGTGAATTCTGGGTGGCCAGTGCAGCAAACTGCAGAAGCCCTGGGTGTCAGGGAGTAGGCGAAAGGGAAAAGCAGGTGGTGGTTAGCAGACATGATGGGCGGTACAGCAATTTGCAAAGTGGGACATTTGAGACATACTTAACCTCCACCTTTGGGGGATCAGTGTTGTGTTCGTGGACTATTGGTAGACAGTCCCAAGAAGGTCAAATAAGGGCCCTTCTCTGCTGGCTCCCCACCTCCTGCCAAAGAAGCCCTGGACCCTCAATAAAGTCTTACTTTTATTGAAAAGCAAAAACAAACAGAAAACCAAGAAACCGAATTGAGAAGTGGGGAAGAATGCTTCCACATTGTGGGCTTGCAACCAAGGTGATGCCATAGTCCGTGTATAAACTGCTGAATGGCAGTTTGCTGTGCGCACTTACACCTTCACCGCAAGACAAGGAACATCATCTCTGGGGATCCCCCAGCAACGCCTATGGGGAACTGTGTGTATGTGGGGTGGTGGTGGTGGTGGGGTGGTTAGGGTCTTTCTGGTACATATAACTAGCCTCAAACAGGTAAGTTATTTTCCCTTAATGTTTATAGTTGCATAAGAAATCTAACATCCTATCTGCCAGTAACTTGGAATCTGAACACTGGAGCTGTACACTGCATTGTCAGGTCAGCCACAGTCTCCCCTCAGTGCTTACCTCCCAGCTCTTGGTCGTGGGCTCACTGAAGAAGTTGTCGATCATATTCAGTTCTTCCTTTTCCACCACCACGAAGCCTTGCTCTTTGGCATCCTTACCGTACACATCAGGAGACCATTGAACAAAGAACGTGTACAAATGATCAACCCTGAAAAACACAATGAAAGAGTTTGGGAACACCAGTTCTCTCTTCCTGGAAGGCCTTCGGGGTCTGGGACGCAAACAGTCATCCTTTTCATGTGATCTAACCTGTTTTGCTAGTTGGAAATTTTCCCCACATGAAGACAACCCTACCTGTGGCCTTCCAGCTTCTGAAACTGAGTCAAGACATGAAGCCACCAGTCCCCAGGCAATGAGGAACTGTTAAAAATGTCTCCCACTCGTATGCTAAGACAAAGAGATCGATTATAACCTGAAAAATGCAGGGACATTTTTATGCCATTTTTCCCCTCACAGGATCTTCACTTATCCAATACATGTTTTCACAGAAAATACACTGAACTAAGGCGTTAGCTGGGAACAAAGTCCAATAATACGCCAACGGTCTTTTGTGGAGGTTGGATCACTTTTAGAATTGCAATAAAAGATCTTGAAAACTGGCAAGGATCAAGAGCATGTAAAATCCCACCTAATTCACAATAAAAAGTTGGGGGGTGGGGAAAGTGCCTGTCAGTTGTAATACTAGCTATTACTTTAATATGAGAACGAGACATAATTTTATTGACATAGTAGTATATTTTGCTTCCAAATTCTGTGTTCTCTTATACATATTTAATATATAGGAGGGCCCTGAAGCACCTCTCCAGGCTTAATCAATAGACAGATGGCTAGTACTGAGCAGAGGATGAAAGTTTGTAGCTCCCTGCCTAAATTACTCCTCTGTTGCCCCAAGTCTGAAACTACCGCAAGTCACAAACCCCCCAATCTCGAATTCCACACCTTTAACTACTGCAGTGGAGAGTGGGACAGGTGGGAAGGATCAAATGATTCTGAAAGCCCCTTCTGATTTCTAATTTCAAAGCTAACAGCACAAAACAAACATGGAAAAATATCGCCCACAATTCTGATACCTCAGTGGATCAAAGTGATTTAGGTTTCTAGATTCCTACTTGCCTTTGACCACACACATACACCATTTTCTTATCTTTTTAATCAGAGCCATAATATAGTAATTTTTCACTTGTAACACCATATAATGCACATTCATCATGTTGCTAGCTTTTGTAGTTATTTTAATGGCTATGTTTCATGAAACTAATAAATAATAATTAAGTTGTAATTGTCAAGGTAGTCAGCTGACTTCATTTATTTGATGATATTGATGTTGCAAATTCTAAACCTTATGGGCAAAGCGTTTCATCATCCTTTGAATGATTTTCTCCACATTAATTCCCAGAAATGGAATTACGGGCCAAAGGGCATGCTTTTATGGCTCATGCTTCCCCTGCCAAACTGCTTCTGAGCGGCTGACTCGCTTACTCTACCACCTGCACTGTGGGGTCTACCTTCACAGAGCCTTTCTGCTTCTTACAGTGAGTGCATTTAACACATGCAAATTCTACCTACTCATTCTGCATTTCCCCAAGTGTAGCGGGTTCACTAGTTTTCATCTTCTTTCCAAGCTGCTACTTTTGGGATAAATCCATCCTTTGGGACTGTGGAGTCAGTGTTTGGTCTTCTTTCTCTCTGCGGGTTGTTGGGGGGCTGTTGATTGTGACCTAGCGCAGCCCTGAGTACAAAGAGAACAAGGCGCCTCCCAGTCCTGCTCTAGGCTCACAATGGTCGTCATGTTTGAGCCCATTGTTGTAGCTACTGTGTCAGTCCACCTGGTCAAGAGTCTTCCTCTTTTTCCATGGTCTTTCTACTTTACCAAGTGGAACATCCTTTTCCAGGGACTGTTCTGTCCTGGTATTGTGTCCAAAGTACTGAAATGCATTCTTGTCTTCCGTGCTTATAAGGAGCATTCTACCGGTACTTCTTCCAACACAGATCCGTTTGTTCTTTTGGCAGTCCATGGTATTTTTTTTTTAAACATTTTATTAGGGGCTCATACAACTGTTATCGCAATCCATACACACATCAATTGTGTAAAACGCATTTGTACATCATTCTCAAAACATTTTCTCTCCACTTAAACCCCCGACATTAGGGCCTCATTTTTCCCCTCCCTCCCCGCTCCCCCCTCCCTCATGAGCCCTTGATAGTTTATAAATTGGTATTTTGTGATATCTTGCCCTGTCCAACATCTCCCTTCACCCACTTTTCGGTTGTCTGTCCCCCAGGGAGGAGGTCACATATAGTTCCTTGTAATCGGTTCCCTCTTTCCTACCCATTCTCCCTTTACCCTCCCTGTTTCGCCACTCACACCACTGGTCCTGTAGGGCTCATCCACCCTGGATTCCCTGGATTTTCAGTTCCTATCTGTACCAGTGTACATCCTCTGGTCTAGCCAGACTTGCAAGGTCGAATTCGAGTCATGGTAGTGGGAGCGGGGAGGAAACATTTAGGATCTAGAGGAAAGTTTTTCTCTATTTTTGATGAGTATTTCTCATCGTTGTTACATCACACCCTGACTGGCTTATCTTCTCCAGTGGCCTATTAATGGGCTTTGGATCTCCATTCCGCACTCCCCCCATCATTCACTATGGTAAGATTTTTTTTGTTCTGATAATGCCTTATACCTGATCTCTTCGACACCTTGTGGTTGCATAGGCTGGTGTGCTTCTTCCATGTGGGCTTTGTTGCTTCTGAGCTTGATGGCCGCTTGATTACCTTCAAGCCTTTAAGACCCCAGATGCTATACTTTTTGATAGTCGGGCACCATAAGCTTTCTTCGCCACATTTGCTTATGCAAATTTGTCTTCAGTGACCTGTTCCACACCTCGTGATCACACAGGTTGATATTTTAATATTTTTAATATTTTTCACCAGTACCTTAATTCAAAGGCATCAATCTTCAATCTTCCTTAGGCAGTGCCTTCCTTTCACATGTAGATGAGGTGAATGAAAATACCATGGCCTGGGTCAGGCACACCTTAATCCAAAGTGACATCCTTGCTCTTCAACACTGTGAAGAGGTCTTGTGCAGCAGATTGACCTAATGTAGCTCATCTTCCGATCTCTTGACTGCTGCTTCCATGAGCACTGATTGCGAATCCAAGCAAGACAAAATCCTCGACAACTTCTTTTTTCCCATTGATCACAACGCTACCTATTGGTCAAGTTGTGAGGATTTGGATTTTCTTTACATTGAGCTGTTATCCACACTGAAGGCTGCAATTCTCAGTCTTCTCCACTCAGTGCTTCAAGCCCAGCTCACTTTCAGGAAGCAAGGTTGTGTACCTGCATGTCCAGGTTGTTAATGCGCCTTACTCTAAGCCCTTTGCTGCGTGTTTCTTCTGTGGAGAACTTTACATAATGTAGACAATTATCATTATCAAATGTATTCCTAGGCTATCACTATCTTTTTATCTGAATCGTATCTTTCCTCCTGTTGTACAAAATTACCAATGTTCACACACCTGAAAGATGAGAGTTCCTTAAAATTATTTCCTGCTCATGAAAACATGGTAAGTTATTATCCCAAACCAGGTGTAGATCTGTGAGCACAACACACTATTTCTATTTGAATATATATATATATATATACACACACACACACACACACACACACACATATATATATATATATGGTTAAAATGGTTACCTCTGGTAAATGAAATTGAGGGGGAGGCCTTATTTTACATTGCATATATCTTTACATTATTTTTATGTTGGTTGAAGGTAGTATGCTCATATAGTTCAAATATAAAAATTACATTAAAACAAGCATGAGTGAGAACTCTTCTCATCCATACATTTTCTTGTCTCACTCTGTGCCCACCACTGTCCCCTACAGGTGATCACTTTTTCAGTTTCTTCTGTGTATTGTAGTTTTTTATGTGGTTACAAATATATATGTATAGTCTTTTTACCTTCCTGTCCCTAAACAAAAGGCAGGACTTTTTTACCTTTTTCTCTTACTTTTTTTTCACTAAGAAATTTGACCTGAATATCTTTTCACAGTCTAGAGACTGTCTCCTCCTTCTTTCTTTTACAACGACATAGTACTTTCCAGGCAGATTTACCATCGTTTATAAAACCATCTTGTATAGCTGGACATATTTGGGTCTTATTATAAACACTGGAATATGAGTAACGTTGGACATGAATCATCATTTCACACGTGTATTGAAATATATGTAGGGTTACTTTCCAGAACTGTAACTGCATTGTGAAAAAAAGTCACTTACAGTTTTGATGTTTAATGCTATATTGCTCTTTAGGGAGGTTCTATGATTTTTTACCTCCCGATCAGCACAGTTTATACTCTTTGGTATCATATATTCCCTTTACTAGTAGAATAAAATTTCTTCATGAAAACAGATTGACTTAGAAAACAAGAACTAAAGTATCGCTCCAGTGGTGTTTGATATACGCAATTCTTATACTTCTCGCTGTTTTTAGTACATAACATTTTAGCCCATTTGGAGTAGAGCTGAAACTAAACACGTGTCCTCTTAACTTTTGCTATAGGGCACACTGATTACACATGTGCATACACACTGGATAAGTGTTCTGGGCACCCATGATTTCCTTGCTAGTTGTTGGCTTGATCATTTTCCACCACTCGCCTGTCAGTTTGTTGTTCTATGGTGGCTTGCATGTTGCTATGATGCTGGAAGACATGTCAGCAGTATTTCAAATACCAGCAGGGTCACTGAAGCTTGTACTTAAACAGAGAAGAGCTAAAAACGGAGGGAGGAAATTATTAAATAAAACAGCTGAATGGGAAATCTCAAAGGTTGGCAAGAGTAGACAGAATAAAGTATTTGAATAAAATGTGCAAAGTTAGAAAACCCAAAGGGAAGAATACACTGGGCATTTCTCAAACGGAAAGAAGTGTGTGGGGTGGGAAATGAGGCCTCAAGTTGCAATACTGCAGGATGCAGGAAACAGCAAGAGAAGATGAAAGAAATACACAAACGGTGCCCGAAAGAATTGGTCAATGTCCAACCAGAAGGTGGGTTACAATTAAGAACCAAAGGTGCTGAGAGAAGAAGTCCAAGCTGACTGAAGGCACCGGAGACAGAGAGGGCTGAGGCACTGGT